CAGGTATATGGAATCACAGGGGGACCCTCGAAATGACCCGATCGTGATTTGGTTGAACGGTGGACCGGGATGCAGCTCGTTGATGGGACTGCTTGAGGAGTTGGGACCTTTCAGACCAAACCCGGACGGGAGAACTCTTTTCGAGAACGTTTTCTCGTGGAATAAGGTGTGGAATTTGGGTATTTTTTGCATTTTTTGGGGAATTTCAGGCAAATTTTTCGTATTTTTGGTATATTTCTATGGTTTTTCCGGTTGGAATTTTCCATTTTAGTAAGATTTTTAGTGAAAAATCACGCTGCAGAACCCATTAGCAAGGTCATTTTAAAAGAATCTTGAGAAAGAGAGTGAATATGGTGTGTTAAGTGTGTTTTATTGATGAGTTGGTTGTGCATTTCAGTATTGCAAAATTTAATTTCAGGCCGTGGCAAAAATTTAATTTCAGTATCGCAAAATTTAATTTCAGGCCGCCAATTTGATGTTCTTGGAGACGCCTCGAGGTGTGGGATTCTCCTATCAGAATATGACTGAGAATGCGGACACGGAATGGGATGATACGAAGGTTAATTGCGATTGGTTAAATTTTAAATTTTGAAAAAATTTAAATTTAAATTCGTTAAATTTTAATTGAATTCTTAAAAAAAATCAAATTTTCTTAAAATTTAATTCGGTTTCTCCATTTTCAGTGGCAAATTTGGAATTTGAAATGAAAAATTTTTCATTTACGAAAAAAAATTCTGAAATTTATTGTTTTGATCTGTCGGAAGCACTGAAAATTTTTGGAATTTGAGAAAAATTTCGGGAAATTTGAGAAATTTTTAACGTTGCTGACAGTTTTAACTGATAATTAGTTAAGACTAATTAACTAATTAGCAACTAATAATTAATTAGTCGCCAGGTTTTGCTTTAAATTTTAAATTTTGAGTGATTTAGACGGCAGAGGAGACGGCTGACGCTATCGAAGACTTCTTCAATATATATAAAAATCTGCGATCGCATAAGAATGAGCTGTATCTGACGGGTGAATCGTATGCTGGCATATATATACCGATGACGACGAATGTCCTAATCGATAGAATTCAGGTTTGGGGGGGTTGTTTTGGTTGATTTTAGGTTGACCTGAATTGAATATTTTACAGGTATTTTAAGTGATTTTAGGTTGACCTGAAATTAATTTCAGCACAAAGGTTTGCAACTGAATTTCGCAGGTGTGGCCATTGGAAACGGCGCCTTCAGTATAATCCAAGAGGTTGTTGGTTTAATGGTTTTTTTTGGTTTTTTTGGTTCAGTGGTTTTTTTTTACCAGCTGGTTTTTTTTTCATTCCACTCACAAACGATTCGCATCATTTTCAGATTCGTGCCAATGCTGATTTCATGTACTTCCATGGTTTCTACGGCAGAGAGTGAGTGCTTTCGTTGGTTTTATTTGCTTTTTTTCAGAAATTTTCCAAAATTTTTTCATTTTCCACTGAATTTTTCTATGTTTTTTGGCCTTTTCTCATCGATTTTGTCTGATTTTGATCATTTTGTCTGATGATTTTGTCTGATTTTGATCATTTTGTCTGATAATTTTGCCGGATTTTGATCATTTTGTCTGACTATTTTGTCTGATTTTGATCATTTTGTCCGATTTTGACAAAATTTTTTAATTCGTCACATCGTTTCAGTGAATGGGATCAACTGCAGAGATGTTGTCCTCAAATCGAACCATCCGATGATCTGCTTCCATCGGTTATATGTGCCTACGAAAAGTATGTGAGTGTGAATGGGTCTGGATTGGTGAATCCACTGAATAGTTCCGATACGCAATTCCGAAAATGCAGCGATCTGGTGGTCAACCTCTCCGAATGGAGTGTCTGGAATAATGTGTACGTTTACTTTGCATTTTGTCTTATTTTGTCCGATTTTGACAAAATTTCCCAATTCGTATCTGACGTTATCATATCTGACATTATATACCGATTCGTTGCACATGTTAAACAGTTACTTTTTATCGCATTACTCGTTACTTTTTTAGCTGCTTACTGCATAACTTAAACTGTAACTTAAACTCTTAGTCTCCAGTTAAACTGTGGTGCCGTCCTCCACCCTGTTAAACAGTAGCATATCACCTCTAATTACTTCATTAAGTGGCTAATTAATGCTACTGTTTCACCTGTTTCGTGACTGTTACTTTCGCAAATGATTCAACGACTATTTCTCGCAATCGTGCCGATGTTACGGTTATCATATCATCTTGATCATTCCAGTTATCACTGAGTTATCAGTTATGATAATGGTTGTTATCACTAGTGATAGGTGTATTGTTATCAGCTTGTTATCACCTGTGTTATCACCTGTTCAGGTATAATGTGTATGCGTTGTATGAAGAGTGTTACGAGAGATCAATCAAGTCGCAGTCGCAACAGCAACGAAAACGTATTCGAGAACGAATGGTGCCGACAGCACGTGAACAGCAACTTTTTGAGAAACTCAAAAAATCACCTAGGAGACTGCAATCGGCATATCGCCACGTGATGGTTGGTGTTTGGGTGATCAGGGGATAGTGGGTGATCAGGGGATATTTGGTGATCAGGGGGATATTTGGGTGATCGGGAGGATATTCGGCAGTAGGGGGAATATTTGGTATGGCATTAGTAGGAATGGTATGGCATCCGAGCGATTGCCGAGTTCGGCGATCGCGATTCGACGGATTCGACGACTTTTCCGATCGCGATTCGACGGATTCGACGACTTTTCCGATCGCGATTTGGAATTCCGATCGGATCTCGCGATCTTCCGATCGGAATCCGATCGAATTCACATTTTGAGGTTCCGGAGGTGCCGAATGCAGAAATTTATCAGATTTTCCCAACCGAACTGAAGTTTCGTTGGAATGACGTCACTAATTTTTGGTATATTTGCTTGGTGAATAGAAATGCGGTGGGATATCGTGATCAGTAGATCATTACTCTTATCGATTGATTGTTGATTGATTGTTTTCGTGATCGTGATCGCTATCATTGTTCTCAGCGATCATCTGAGTACGTGTTCTCAACGGATCAACTGGGTGGTTTCCCGTGCTATATGGACGCAGCCTCAGAGAAGTATCTGGCTCAAGCGCACGTCAGATCCGCGTTGCATATTCCGGATTACGTACAGAATTGGGTAGCGTGCAGGTTCGGTGATCAGTGATTGATTTTGTTGAGGTGTTTTTTTGAGGGGGGGTGAGGTCGAGACGTTCAGGTTTGTCGACCTGAAATTATCAGGGAGAAGAATATTTTTGACCTGAAATTACAAAGTACCAAAATTTCAGTCCATTGGTCGAGGCTGGTTACACCCAACTCTATAATGATTCGTTGCCGGTGCTGCAAAAGATAGTCGATAGTGGATACAAATTCAGAATTTTGATTTATAATGGCGATGCGGATGCTGGATGCAACATCTTCGAGGCTGAGTACACATTCGATGAGCTGGCAAAGAGGAATGATATGGTGAGTAGTTGTGGTACTTCAGTGATTTCAGGTGGAGTTGGTTGATTTCAGGTTAAGGGGCGGGTGGAAATATTTGGAAATGGTGGGGAAGGGGGTAAAATTTTTGAATTTTAAAAAATTTTTTAACAGCAACGAGGTCAACGATCGCCGTGGTACTATCGAATGGAGAAAAATTACGCGAGCGAATTGGCTGGTTATCAGCAGCGTTTTGTGCATAATAAAGGGCAGTTGGTCATTGATGTGCTGACGGTTAAGGTGAGTGTATTTTGGAATTATTTTTGGGAATATTTTTGGAAATTTTTAAAAATTTCGGATTTTTCGGGAATATTTCAGTGAAATTGGAGGAATATTTTTTGAAATTTTCAGAAATTTTCGGATTTTTTGGGAATATTTTAATGAAAGTTGGGGAATATTTTTTGAAATTTCCAAAATTTTCGATTATTTTTGGAACATTCTGAGTAAAAACTTGGGAAGACGTTCATCTTTGGAGGCACGAAAACGTTAAAAAAAATTAAATTTTGTCTGTTTAGGTGGAAAAAATTCCGGAATTTTCATAAATTTTTTGAAAATTTGACGTTGGAAAGCGTAATTTATTTTTAAAAAAAGATTTGGAAGTGGAAAATGGGAAAGTTTTTCGGGAAATGAATCCAAAACCGGAAAAATTAACTGATTGAAATGGTTTTCAGGGTGCCGGTCACCTGGTGCCAACCTACCGACCCGGGCCGGCACTTCAGATGATCACCAACTTCCTGCGAAACGCCGCAAACTACAGCCAGTTCCAGCCATTCAATTTGACCCGCCATGAACTCCTTCCTCAATTCCAGGTAGCACTCATCGGATTTACCCAGCTGGCGGGTAATTTCCCATACCTAGAGTCGGATTTTTTGCCCATCCTCGCGCGGATTTCCTTCCCACTTTTCTTCTTCGATGTGTAATTAGCATATTGCCAGGGGTATATGTATGCGATGTTATTTGTTAATTTCATTATCAGGTAAAAAAAAACCCCTAATGTTGGTTTACAGCCTCCTTACGTGAACTCAACAACCCCGGAACCGGAACCGGAAACAACCACACCGGAAGAGGAATCAACAACCACCACACCGGAACCGGAACCAACAACCTCCATACCGGAACCGGAACCATCAACCACCACACCGGAACCGGAATCAACATCCATCACACCGGAAGTGATAACGTCAATCATCACAATCGAACCGGAATCAACAACCACCACACCGGAACCGGAACCAACAACCCCGGAACCGGAATCAACAACCACCACGGAATCGGGATCTGAATCAACACCGGAAGAATCCCCGGCTACTGGTCCGGAGTCAACCGGTTTGATTTTCTTGTTTTCACTGAAATTTTTGCGCTTCAATTGAAACAGGTTTCAATCCTGATCGAATATGTATGTAAATCGATCGTGGTGACGACTTCAAAACTTCAAAAAAAGATTCTTCAGTCTCAGTCGGAATCCGGAAATTTTTCATTTTCCATGGAATTTTTTCAAAATTTTCCAAATTTTTCGAGAAAAATTCCCACCCTTCAGGAACGCCGACGGCAACCACAACGAAATCAAGTGCTCGAATGTCGTTAAAATACAATTCGGTGACGATGGCCGTAGTGCAGTTGCTGGGTGCTGTGGCTGTCTGGACGATGCTGGGAATGGGCTCGGCTTAAGATCAGAACGATTAAATTTTCAAAATCAATCAATATTTGTGATCGAAATGATCACTTTTTTCGTGTTTGAGACAAATTTATCCGTTTGTGAGTGAAATGAAAACTTTTTTTGAGTTTTATGAGTAATTTACTTGTTAAATTTAACAGTAATTAAAACAGTAATCTTAATTTAAAAGTAATGAATAAAATTTTTAAAAGTAATTTTGTATTTTGTACGGAATCGCAGTTGACTTGATCCATCCGGCTTGCATCCGTCACATTTTCAAGTGATTCATTATTATTTATTATTGTTATTGT